ATGTACTCTTTGGATCTCCTCCTGAGTAGGCATTCTTCTAAAGTTGTTGTTGTTATTTTCCTCCTGACTAGCAAAGGCTCCACTTGAGTACAACCTGGGTCTCGTGCCTGGTTGCTCAGTGTAGAGTCTTTCAAAGAATGTAATTGCCATGCCAACTAGATCTTGTAGGTTGGAAACCCACACACCATTCGTGTCAAGCAACATTTCAATTCCATTTCTTTGTCTTTTGGTAATGGTGCTGGCGTGGAAGAATTTTGAGTTCTTATCACCGAAAGCAAGCCATTGACACCTAGATCGTTGGAACCAAGTAATCTCCTCTTGCATATAGATAAAAATAGGCTACTTCCAAAGGCTTCGTTGAAGAGCTGCCATGTTTCTGCCTTTTCCTCTTTCCAAGCATTCATCGATCCCTCTAATTTTGGCCAGAAGTTGACACTTGGTTTGAAGCTTTTCCATGAAATAGGTGGCATGCCATTTAGATGCTTTTTGTTGGAAATAAGAAGAAGTTAATTCTTATATTGATTAGCTATTCCAACAGCTGCTAATGACTTAAGGGAATTCATTAGATGTCAGCTATGCAGCCATGAACCTGAAAGGCTTATCTCCTTGGAAGTTTCTTAGGGTCTACCCTTCCCACAAAAGGAGAGGCCTGTGATCCGAACTGAAGTATGGAAGGTGAGTGATGAACTTGTTTGGGTAAGTCAAGTTCCAATCTTTATTGGAGTAAGCCCGATCTAGTCGTTCCTCCAAGAAGCCTCGCTTCCAAGTAAAGTGAGGGCCTTTAAAACCAATGTCCAATAAATCACATTCATTTAAGCAGCTTTTAAGATCGTCGATGCTATTCCAACAGATAGTACCTCTTCCCTTCTTCTTGTCAAAGGATAAACATGAGTTAAAATCGCCCATGATTGTCCCGGGACCTGCATAACTCTCTTTCAAATTCTTAAGACCATTCCAAAGAGTCCTTCTCTCCAGCTGCCTTGGACTTGCGTAAGTGAAGGTGATTAATTATTGTGCGCTAGTTCCCTTCCAGGTTAATCTTGAGTATATGTATTGATGGTTCAAATCAAGAACATTAATATTCACCTCATCTTCATCCCATAATAACCAAGTACCTCCAGAGAATCCTATTGCCTCCTGCTTGAAGAAATTCCAGAAGCCGAAGGATTTAATTCTTCTGTCAGCCTTGTTTCCACTTAGACGAGTCTCCAGAAGAACCAAGATCTTGATATTGTAATTTCTAACAAAATCACGAATAAATGAAGCAAGCCATTTTTTGCCTGCTCCGCGACAATTCCATGTACAAATCATTAAAAAATTATGAGAAAAGGGGCAACAGGGATACTGCTTGTCAGAGCATTCTCAAATGAGCATGGCCTATACCCACTTGGGGTATATTCTCCAACTCTTTGCAATCATTATGTGCCTCATCAAGGGTTGTTTTTGGCTATGGAACAACAGAAAGATTATCATAGGGAGCTGCAATCCCTTGTTGAACTTGTTCAGGAGGGATCAAAAGATCTAGCATTAAGTTTTCCTTTCTATTCGTCTTCCTGCTGATCTACTTTGTGATTTTCCTTTCGGTTGGTACCTATCTGGCATGCTGCTTTATCTTGGAAAAATTGGTTCCATTTGAACGTTCTCCATGGGTTAGGTTAGATTCCTCTTACTTGTGTTGAGTGTCTTGACTAATTGGCTCTTGAGATACGAGATCCCCTCCTGACTTACTCTTCTAGACTTGTGGTCCAACAGTAACCACGTGGGTTCGTACCATTTCTCTTGAGTCGACCTGTTGTGTTTTTACGTTAGTGGCCTCTGAAATTGGACTTATTGGCTTCTTCTATTTCTTTTGGTTTTTGTTCTCCATGGCTGACTTGGGCATGCACTCCTGATCGGACATTGATTAGCTTGGTTCACTGGGGGACAACCTATTTCTTCTACTGGAGTTTCCTAAACTTGTGACACTCCCTCTGTAATTGAGATTAACACATCATAACGAGACCCCCTCAACAATTATTGTTGTTACGACTTTTGTTGTTGAAGTATCCCCCTTTGTGACATACTTCCCACCTTGTAACGCCTCACTAGGTGCAATCAGTGTGTTATTAACATCTGTATTACTCCTCTATGTAACGGTCGATTGGCGTCCCTTCGGAGTGCGCTAGACAATTATCCGACCAAAGGCTCTATCTTCGCCGAACATTCCTCCTTCGCTATGAACTGGTGCACCACTAGTTGAATTTTGTTTCTCCCGAGCATTACCTATATTAGTTGCAAGGGTGGGGCATTGCTCTTGTCTGTGTCCAAATTGCCCACATGTAAACCAAATAAGGTGCAGTCCTTCGTACCTTACATGAAAAGTTCTGTTGGCGATCTTGAACTTAGACAAGAACCTTTTCTGGAGGTCCACCTCAACATATATATGTGCAAATCTTACACAATCAGTGGTTTCACCATCGTCTACATCATTCTTTCTGATAGAGTTCCTATCTATTTTTAAAGTTTTGCCAAACATTTCCTATTCTCCAAAGATGATGGGATGAGTAAAATTCAATGGGGAGGTCGGGGATACATATCTAGATATCAAGCTTTCAGATAGCATCTTCAAACGGATTAAACAACAGCCTCCACCTCTGAATGACCACATAATGACCAGCAACTACCCATGGACCTTCATGGAGGACATGATTATAATCCTTTTCTTCAGTAAACCTCACTATGAAGTAGTCATTTTTCAAGTCAATGAACTCATAAGCTCCTGTAAGATCCCACATCTTCTTCAGCTTATTCTTTAGAAATTTGATCCCTAGGCGCTTCCCTAGCAGTTTAATTATCAGTGAGTTCCTCCATTTGATCCCTATTAAATATAAAAAAATTTCGGATCATCACTTTCCTTTCCATATGGTGTGGTTGTAGTGGTGGCGGCGGCAGTATGATAGTGGTGGTGGCAGTGACGTGGTGAAGATAGTGGTGGTGGTTGTGATGACAGTGACTGCAACGATGGTGGTGGTAATAGTGGCGCGACGGCAGTAGTGGTGGGGATGGTGGTGGTGGAGGTGACGACAGTGGCTGCGACAATGGTGGTGGGTATGGTGGTTGGTGGCAGCAACAATGGTAGCAGTGGCATGATTGTGGTGGTTGTGAAGGAATCATAGTGGTGGTGGTGGCAGTGGCAGTGGCTGCGACGGTGGTGGTAGTGGTGACGGTGGCAGTGGTGGTAGTGGTGGCGATGGCGTGGTGATGGTAGTATCGGGGGTGGTGTAATGGTGGCGATGGTGACGGTAATGGCTGTGACGATGATGGTGGTGGTGGTTGGTGGCGGCGGCAGCGATGGCAGTGGTGGTGACAATAGTGGCTGCGACAATGGTAGTGGTGATTGGTGACATAGGTGGTGATGGTAGTGATGGCATCGTGGTGGTGGTAGTGGTGGCGATGGGGGTGGTGGCAGTGGCGTGTGATGGCGGTGACGGCAGTGGTTGCGATGATGGTGGTGGTGGTGGTTAATGGCGGTAGTGGTGATGGTGACGGTGAAAATGGTGGTGGTGGCAGTGGTGGTAGTTGTGGTGGTGGTGACAGTGGCATGGTGGTAGTGATGGGTGGAGGTGGTGGTAACGGTGGCGGTGGCATCGTGGTGGTGAGGGGTGGTGACGACGACACTAGTGGTACGATGACGGCGGCGATGATGGTGGTGGCAGTCGTGTCGGGATGATGGTGATGTGGTGGTGGTGATGGTAGAGGTGAAGAGTGACTGAGAGAGATAAGTGTGTCTCATTTTGTGCCCGGGAACAAAAAAGCAGAAATTTTCTGATTCTTTTTTCTGTTCCCTAGCACAAAAATTAAACCGGTTCATCCCGATAACAAAAAAATAAACCGATTTTATCAAACGAGTTTCCTATCCATTTTTGTTCCCGGGAACAGAAATTAAAAAAGAATTGATTTCAGGAAGGTTGTCATGGACACCCTAAATAACCGGATACATGAGTCTATATCTAGACAAGTCTGTAAAATGCACCAGTCTTTTCAATTATTCTTCATTCATTTTTTATTTTTTTTATATTTCTCATTAATTATATATAAGAAATTAACCTTTTCTTTCCCTCCAAACGTAAGGAAGCTATTTCCCCTTAAACTGTCCAAAAATATCATTGCTGCCGAATACCCTCACACATAAGTGTAGACTCCAACACCAATGTACCATTAGATTATTTGTGTATGCACTCAACAGGTATTACTACAATACATAATCCTTTATTAAAATCATAAATAAGTGAGATTCATGTAACTTACTAATAATAATAATAATAATGATGACGACGATGACGAAGGTGGATCATTTAATAGGTGATGTATTCAAATATCGACAGAGTATTGAAAATATTTTTCACCATGACTTAAAGCAAGGAAAATATATTATTGGGCTCGTAGTGAATTCAATTCGCATGGGTTTTCGCACTGAGATGCGAAATATAGGACTTGTTTGAATTCTATTTCAAAAAGTATTCTTTGATTTTCAGAATAAATAAAATAAAAACTCGTTTAATAAGATTTGTTTAGTAAAAAAATATTTTAAAAATTATAACTGATTTTTTTATTTTTAGAATCAAATTTAAAAAATATGTCTGAGATATTTTTGTTTTTTATTTTGACTTTTAATTTTCAAAACAAAAAAAACACAGAAAGTACTTATTTCCATAACTGTTTTACAAAATATTTTTAAGAACAACATAGCAGAAAACAATGACCAATTATATCTCCGTTGACTTGTGCAAGAACTTAAAATTCCATTGCATTTCTAGTTTAGGCAACAAGTATTTTAGGCAATGAGAAACTAGAAAGAATGAAAACGGGCACAAGTCAACAACTATGTTATCAATCAATTTGAATATTTCGAGTTGAATTATTGTTCGGACAATCTTAAGGAAATAATAAATTGAAGAATTAAAAAAAAAAAAAACTACCTTTTTTTCTCTATTCTAAAACCAATTCTTCTATCCAGCCTATATCAACTACATACATGATTACTGAATGAAATGAAAGACTAACAAATGATATAGACTAATGAAATGACACATTCAATTTAAACTTGAAGTTTCAGGTCTTTCCAAACGGATGTAGTCATACATAACTCCTTGGAAACGAGTTAGACCTTTTGCCTGCCTCAGATAAATGGTGTTGTTTCCTTCAACCAATAGATGGCTAGGTACTTCAATGCTGTAAGGCCAGTACAATCCATGGATCCCATGTCTTGCTATAGCGTTGTCTTGGCCTATTAATCCCGTAGAAAAGTGTTCATGAAGAGCCACTGGGTTATTGAACCGAACCTAAACAACAATCACACATAGTGTTAGTGTTAGTGAAATTAGTCATAACAGAAACCTCAACAACTATAGACAGTCATCAACTAAGGCTTTCATCATTTACCACCAAGTTAGAACTTTCGGCTGAGGCCAAGGCAAGTTGTAGTGTGTAGTTTCCTCTTATAACAAATGGGAGATGAAATCTAATCTCCCATGTCGTGGGGCGAAATTTGTTGTTTCCTATATTCCTGCATGCATTGTTATATAGTGGACTCAAAACCAATTATTTTTAACAATCAATAGCTGCATTATTAGATCAATAAATTTGATTACATTACCTGGTAACATGAGCATAAAACCAATCCTTACTATAATCACTAACACCAATATTGTAAACGAGGTTCTGATTTGGATATAATTCGGTGTAACGTTGCCACAATCCATATTGCCTAAAGCTGTCAATATTAGAGATACATAGTTAAATGAAACAGAAAAAAATTATGTGGATGAAAAGCATAAGAAATTCTTGATTGAGTTTAATGCTAACTTGTGTTTTGGCTTCCCAATGAATAATCGGTTAATGAGGTTAGGATAAGGGTCTGGAACATAGAACTCTGCAGCAGAGCGATCAGGGATGCCAATTTCCCATATGGTAGGTCCATTTCTTGGAGGCATGTATATTAGTGAACCCAATTGGATGACACATCCTACAACATTACAAGCATGTCACTAAGAAGGAATTAAACTTTTGGGAATGACTGAACCTGTTACATATTGGTGCTGTTTTATGCTTCAGGTATTAAGGTTAGCTTATACTAGCAATCAATCTAATAAGACTCATGAGAGATATGTGGAAAAATTTATACCTGGTGTGATGGTTACAGTAGTGTTATATTTGTAATCTCCAAAAATGCCAGGAACCCATGCATACAAATTGTAGTCGCCCGGTACAACATTTTTAATTTGGAAGTGGCCAATCTTATCAGCTTGAGTCCAGAATTGGTAACCCTGTAAACAATGTTAAAACCACATGACTTTTCCAGTGTCTCATTGACTCTTGGCTATTATCTTTTCTTCTTCTTTTTTAAATGGTGACTCAAGTTTGAACTAATAACCTATTAACATTTCAATATTCAAGAAACTAAGTTTTGTTTGCAACAGAGATACCTTGCTTTGTCTTTGCCACGATCCCACGTCTCCAGGCAGAGCCAGACCAACATAAGCATTGTCACCATATAGAAACCTTCCTCCTTTGATGTATCTGATGGTAAAAGCAAGGAACTTGATGAGTTCTCTTGACACATAAAAGAGTATAAAATAGAATGGCTAATGAATCAAAATGTACCGGTCTTGGATTAGCAATTTTCCTTCCACTGTTCCCCGTTTATTGGGTGGGAAAAAATCATCTGATTTTGGGAAATCATAGGGCCAGATTTTGATTTCCTCAGACAGCTAAGTGAAGCAAATCCAAAAAATAAAAAAAAATTACCAGTCAAATTAAGCTTTGATTAATAAGCACACTTTCAATGGTATAATTAAGTACAATTAGCAGTAGTAGCACCTGTTGTTTAGCATCATTCCAGAGGACTTGTGAATCATCATGGCCACTTGAAACAGAGTTGAGATACACAAAAAAGGGGCCATAAACTTTCTTGAAAGGCTCCCCTTCTTGAAATGCCATTGTTATCTCCTTCCCGGCGTAGTGGGTGGTATGAAGTATCTACTCATCAATAATAATAATAATATTCATCAATTATATAAGATAGGAAGCTAAAATTGAGTAATGTTAATATATATATATGCAAGAGAAGAGGCTTTGGAGTTACATTGAGAGTGACAGGGCCAACATGAGAAGTGAGGCCTTGATGGATTGGCCCACCATTACGGAACTCATTACTTGGTGTTATCATCCAGAAGCCCACCGATTCATTGAAGTTGGTGTCAAAGTTAATCCACCCATGAAGATTATTATCTTTGTTCTCACATGAATATTGGTACTTGTCATCCACCTAATCACACTCCAATCCACCAATTAATGGGCATGTTGAGAAAATACATAGAGAGACAAAACATGTGATGTGATGAAGGGAACAAAAAAATGTAGAAAGAAAAGAAGGCACCTCTCCTTGAATTGCAAGGTTACTAGGGTGATTTATTATAACAGCTTCAGGATAATCAAGGCGTTGCCCAATAGATCTTTCTTCTAGGGTTGGCATCACTCGCTGCCTATCATCTGCTATAGCCATGAAGTGGAACCTGTCCCAATGTGTTTCCATCAATTAGGGTTAAGCATTAAGGGATGTGTTGAACATATATCATATAATTATACATCAAAAAACTCCATATATATAATCATATTGAACCGTTAGTGGGGCTGCGAGTCTAATATCTAATCCTAATAGGGTGTAATGGTCACTATATATAGGGGTATCAAAGTTAACAGAGGTACAGACTCAAGCTAAACGATGAAGTACCAGGTACAGTGTGAGACAAATAAAGAGGGTGGGGGTGCTTAGGGCTACAATGACTCTTCTATATAGCAGGATAACAATACATAAGTTAGTGATGCCTTTTCTGTGGAGAAGAAGGGTATTTATAGCAGGAGGTGATGTCTTGCTTGTGTGGGAGAGTAAGTTAGGTCAACTTTCCTAGAGAAGAGCCAATATGCCATGCATTGCTGTGGCAATGCACTTGCAACCCCTGTTATACTAGTAACAGTTGCTGGTGTAGGGGATATCTATTTAGAGGACTTGTGGAGGCTACAAGGAAGAGGAAAAGTCCCAACGCATGACATTCTGGTGTCTTACGTCAGGAAATCTATTGCATGAATACCATGGCAGGAGTAGGGCTGTGCATGGGTCAGGTCGGGTCAGGTTTTTGTCCGACTCGACCCAACTTGGTTTTTATAGGTTAGGTATTTTGACCCGCCCCGCTTTAATTTGATCCAAGTCAGGTCTGACTTGGATTGGATTTTGTTGAACTAGTTCAAAACCAGTTTGGATCTGACCTGACTTGGTTTCTGAAGTGGGTCTGACTTGGTTTCTGAACTGGGTCAAATCTGACCTGACCCGTTTTTGACTTGGTTTTCTCACAAAATTTTGTCGAAATTTTTACGTTGCAAAAGACGGAAATTTCGTCACAAAATTATTTTTTTGTCGAAATTTTTACAAAAAAAAAATTTCTATTGAAATTTAGTTTCCGTCAACAGTTTTGACGAAAATGATTTCTTCCATCAAATGTTTTAAACGAAAAAAGAATTCTGTCAAAAAATTTAACGGAATGTTTTTCGTTCAAAATTTCGATGGGAATGTGTTCTGACGAAAATTATTTCGAGGGAAATGTTTCATTTGAAACTTTCGACGAAATTTAGATTCTCTAAAGAATTTTGACAGAATATTTTTTTTGTCAAAAAGATTTACGGAATTTTTTTATAGAAATATGTTTCGTGGAAAATTTTGATGGAAATTTTTTATCAAAAAACTTGACGAAAATATTTAGTTTAAAATTTTCGATGGAAATGTGTTTCGCTAAAAATTTCGACGAAATTTTTTTTTGTCAAAAAATTTATCGAAATATTTTTCGTCGCAAACTTTCGCCGAGATTTGAAATCTGTAAAGAATTTTGATGAATATTTTTGCCGTCGAAATTTTTCGCCGTCAAAATTTTTTGATGACGAAAATGTTTCCGTCGAAAACTTTCGCCAAAATTAGAAATCTGTAAAGAATTTTGATGAAATTTTTTGCCGTCAAATTTTTTTGATGACGAAAATATATATGTCGAAAACTTTCGCCGAAATTTGAAATCTGTAAAGAATTTTGATGAAATTTTTTGCCGTCGATATTTTTTGCCGGTAAAATTTTTTGATGAAGAAAATGTTTCCGTCGAAAACTTTCGCCAAAATTTGAATTCTGTAAAGAATTTTGTTGAAATTTTTTGCCGTCAAAATTTTTTGATGACGAAAATATTTCCGTCGAAAACTTTCGCCAAAATTTGAAATGTGTAAAGAATTTTGATGAAATTTTTTGCCGTCGATATTTTTTGCCGTCAAAATTTTTGATGACGAAAATGTTTCCGTCGAAAACTTTCGCCAAAATTTGAAATTGTAAAGAATTTTGATGAAATTTTTTGCCGTCAAAATTTTTTGATGACGAAAATATTTCTGTTGAAAACTTCAAAATCAAAAGGAAATGCGGGCAAGGTTAAGCTCGGTAGAGGGTTCGAGAATAGGGTAGGGTCCTGTCTTTATCAGATAAGAAAAGAGTTCCAAACCTTTATGCATGCACCTTCGTATAAGTGCTGCATACAAGTTCCGGCCAGGAGAATTGGGAAACAAAAACCAATTGGAACCGCTAAAATCACAGTAGTCGCAGAAATTTGAAATCTGTAAAATTTTTATGAAAATATTTTCCATAAAAAATTTTGACGTAATTGTTTTACGTTAAAACTTTTCTTTTAATGTAATTGTGATTTTTTTTTACATAATGGGTATGGGTCAAGTTTTGGGTCAGTGGGTCAATATTAAAACGAGTCATGTCTAAAACTGACCCAAATAAAAGTGAGTCAGTATTTAAACTAGTTCAAAAAATATGGGTATTTATGGGTCGGGTCAAGGTCGGATCAAGGGCAGGGCAAATGAACCAGTTTTTTTGCACAGCCTAGGCAGGAGTGCTATCATGGTAGTGGCTAATAGGTCTGACGTGGATTAATGTTATGAGGTTGGACCTCACTTATTAGGCTTACTGATTGAGCTAACCAGGACACTTATAAACATGGTTGGGTGAAAAACTGAAAAAAAAAAAGAAAAGTGAATGCATGATGCTTTTTTTATTTTGTAAACAGAATGCATGATGCTAATAATGCTTTTGTACTTAGGCTTTTTCACCCTTTTGTCCCTTATTAATTAATTAATAACCTTTTTGTCCTTGTTTCGAAACTATCTACTAATCTGTCCCTCTTTAATCGACTGCCTTGCATTTTTAATCGACTAAATGGCCAAAACAGGCAAAAATGGCTGTTGGGAGATTTAATCGGCTAAATCTCCCTATTTAGTCGACTAAATCTCCCACCAGACAACAAAGGAAAACAAGTCAGTATGATTTTTTAATCGATTAAGTGGGGAGATTTAGTCGATTAAATCTCCCAACAACCATTTAGTCGATTAAAAATGCAAGGTAGTCGATTAAAGAGGGACAGATTGGTAGATAGTTTCGAATCAGGGACAAAATGATTATTAATTAATTAATGAGGGGTAAAATGGTGAAAAAGCCTTTGTATTTACCTGTCCTCCTGTAGCTTGAAAACGATCCTAATGTGATCAATCTCCAATGCGGGAAAACCTTCGGAACGCTCAACTATAGCGTATATGTATACTCCTGAACTACCTCTACGTAATATATACCTGCAATGCAAATTTGGATACATTTCATACTTCACCAACATTCAATTATAAAACTTTTAATCATATTGTTTATAAAATTATGTTTCAACCAGATTTTATCATTTTGGTCATCTAAAATATAATTTTATGGATGGAGTGACCAAATTTAAAATCTAGGTATTTTTCAGAATGCGTGTAAATGAGTAAGACCTAAAATTACCTAATTTCAACGTTTATGGGGAGACTTGAGCCATCCATGTCCCACGTTCTTGAAAATGAAACCTCTACTTGATCCTCATTTGCCTCTATAACAGAAAATTTGTTCCCATAGATTCTGCAGAATATATAAAGTAATTTGGCCAATTACCAAGGGTATATATGATGACATACAATACTAGCATATATCGACATATGTTTATATTTTTATGGTGTTCATAAATTATGGTGAAAAAATCCACCTCCAAACTTTAGCATGATTTCCGGGTACATTCCAAACAACGTCAAAATACCTGAAAAGGTAGGGTGTTAATAATTATGTCAATTAAACTATAACTTAAAACTTAATGCCTCCATATTTCGTGCTCAACTTTACCCATTGCAGAAGCACTCAAATTTAATTTAGATAATTTCATGAGAGAATTGATGATATAAAATGAAATTGAATAATGTAATTAACGACACATGTATACTAATTAATATACCCTCTATCATCATATTTGTTGCGAGCTTCAAGCACATTATCTATTCCATTATATAATATTCGAAGGACAGTGCCCTCGGGCCTCGCCAATGTGACACGAATGATGCCATTATCCATCATCACCTGAAGATTAAACCCAATTATTGTTAATATAATTTTTTTGTTTTATAGTTGATGATCCATCTAGCTAGCTTCGGGGATGGTTCAAAATTTAAGAGCTAGGCCAACATGGTTACAATTGGAGTAATTAATAAAGGGGAGTTTAATAGTGAAAATGAGAAAATTAAATACCAGTTTATCTTCTACATGTAGGTTGACTTTAGGATAATAAGATGTTCTGCTAGGGCTGTTGATCTCCCTTAAACTCCTGCAATTCGAAGGATAAAGTTTTGAGTGAACAAATTGGCAAAACTATAAAATGCATATTATCAGGAGTACAACATTTTCACATCGCATTGAAAGTGCATTTTATGAGTTAAGCAGTATTTGCAGACAGTTAATCAGAAAAAAAAATTTCTACAAAAAAAAAAGAAAGATATAGTAGTATTAATAAGAATCAACTGTATTTTGGCCGGAATTATATCTATCTAGAGAGAGAGAGGGAGAGAACATAGGCGATGATGTTGATGTTATAAAAGAAAGTGGGTGATATTAAAAAAATCACCAAGAGGTTTGAACCTGTGTATAAAGCAGATGATATTAATATCTATGAACACCGAGCAATGTATAAAATAAGGAACATACTTACAATATGTCAGAGTACAGAACAAGATGAACAATTTATGCAAGATAGTGTAAGAAATTCGAGCCCACAGAAAGTGTCTCTTTAAGACAATTTTCTCCCTCACTGATGTCGAAGGTTGATAAACACTTGTCTCCTAGGATAAAACAGATTACGTCTGAAGATTGGTGACACTACCAGTCAATAGCCCGAACGAACACAACAAGATGCCAGAGGAATTACACCGAAAAATGAAATGAAGCATGCAAAATCGGATGAAGGAAAAAATCTGGCAGAGTAACAGTGCAGAAAATTGGATGAAATTTTTGAAGGGTCAAGGTCTGTATATAGACACTGACCGGTCACGATGAACCGCCGCCGGCGGCGCACCGCCGTGACTGACGGCTGCGAACAGGTACAACCGGTGACCGATTCGGTTCAATATGAATGAACGCGTTAGTTTGAACCGAAAAGTAAGAAACGATTCGGTTCAAAAAATTAACAAAAAACCGACGGGGAGAAACGTTTGGGTTGAAGAATCTGGAGAGAAGCAACGGATAGGGAGATGGATATTTTGGACAAAAAATTATTTTTATTCCACACACACACACACACGACCGAACCGAACCGATTCGAGCCAAGCCGGCCGGACGACGGCGCGTGCGCGTGTGGTGGACCAAAGACCACCTAGCTTTTCTCCCCTCCACAAAAGTGCAGTGTCTCAAGGTGCAATTTAGGAGTGTGAGGTGGGAGCTTATAAACCCTCTCACCTCTTACTAGTTATCGAATGTGGGACTTCTTAAAACCCACACACCCCTTCAACTTTCCTCTTTTCTTTTCTTCCTTAACCTACTTCTTATTCATAACCCAAAGAATTTGAATACAAATTCCAACAATCCCCCACATGGATAAGAAGTCAATTTCATCGTGACTAAATGCATAAGAATATAAATGCAAAGTGTAACTTCCTTAGCAAGAAACAATTGCATCGAGATAGGTAGTTACCTTTGAACATTCTCTAGTGAAACCTATCGGATATGCTCGGTCAGTCGGTGGTCTGGGCGACTTGAACTGTCGACCTTTAGTGTATACCTATATAATATGAGTCACAAAATTGCTTCTCTAGCATTGTTGGTCCTCATTGTTGTGCCCATTTTGTCCTTGGGACGCCTGCCTGGTTCTGTGAGTGTTATAGAGAATCGACCTTTATAAATTCTCATAGAAGCGGCCCTCCCTTCACACTCACATAGGTTATTCCTTGTGATGTAACTCAACATATATTATCTGAACACATCAGATTAAGAAACCATTAAAAGCATAAATGCTTACCCTCATAAACACTGTATTGTCATAGGAATAAGTATGAGTTTAGAAACTCCACAGTGTTAACAGTCGATCATCACTTAGTTGTCTCTTTGAACCTAGTTCGTGGGATCTCCACTCATCAAGGTAGAGTTACCACAATGATCAACAATTGATAGGCCTTAAACCCATTCCTTCTACAAATTCTCAACCAACTATCTAGGAATCCCTTTGGTTAACGAATCTGCTATGTTCTCTTTATACTTCACATAGTTAATTGTAATGATTCCATTCGAGAGTAGTTGTCTTACGGTATCATGTCTATGACGAATATGTCTAGACTTACCGTTATACATGATGTTCTTGGCCCTTCCAATAGTGGCTTCACTATCACAGTGTATGCATACGGCTGGTACCAGTTTTGGCCAATTAGGAACATCCTCAATAAAATTACGAAGCCATTTGGCTTCTTCACCGGCTTTATCTAAAGCAATAAATTTTTCTTCGATGGTTAACCTTGCAATGCAAGTCTGTTTGGACAATTTCCAAGATATAACACCCCCACCAAGGGTGAACACATATCCACTTGTGGATCTAGTATTGTTAGAGTCGGTGATCCAATTTGCATCACAATACCCTTCTATAACTGTAGGATACTTCTTATAATGCAAAGCAAAGTTTTGAGTGTGTTTCAAATAACCCAAAACTCTTACCATAGCGGGCTTATGGCGGGCCGGGATGGGCAGCCCACTTTTCCACCTCTAAGTGAAATGTATAAAATAAGAAACATACTTACAATACCTCAGAGTATAGAACAAGATTAACAATATATGAAGGATAGTGTAAGAAATCCGAACCCACAGAAAGTGTCTCCCATGATAGAACATATTGCGTCTGAAGATTGGTGACACTTCCAGTCAGCAGCCCAAACGAACACAACAAGATGCCAAAGGAATTACACCAAAAAATAAAAGGAAGCATGCAAAATCGGATGAAGGAAAAAATTTGGCAAAGTAATAGTGCAGAAAACTGGATGAAATTTCTAAAGGAGACAGGGTCTATATATAGACACTGACCGGTCACGATGAACCGCTGTGATTGATGCCTACAAACGGGTTCAACCGGTGACGAATTCTGTAACATCCCGTTCTAGAACCGATTTGTTAACATTATGTATGGAATTAAGCGCAGTTACAATCACAACAATTGAATTATGATACGGATAAACTTTTCCTTTTTACTTATAAACATTTCTGTTTAATATCAATTTTGTAATTAAAACAATTCCAATAACTGTAATCATAACTTACACTATGAGTGGAACACTTAATGTAATTTTTTTATATCATACGTTGCTACCCTAGTGTGCCAAGTAGTCCCCTTAGACCAACAAGGCTTGAAAACTCATTTTTATTGTTATTCAACACTAAACACCTCCACTTTTTATTTACACAAGAAGTTTTATACTAATAATATGGTCCTAATCTCCCTATAGGTTATAGATATCTTCGTTAGCTATGCGTGGGTTCAAACTGCGTTCATCGGAGCTCCGTAGCTCAAGTTATGAATTTTTGAAGAAAATGATGCTGAATTTCACAAAGGTCCCGCACTGATAGCACGAAACCCACGCTAGTAGCGCGGAAAAACTGACTTCTTCGCATTTTCCCACGCTGATAGTGCCAACTTTGGCGCTTACAGTGCCACGGATATGGAGATTTCATCCAACCTTAGTATTCTACCCACAACTTGAGTTATACTTATCCGATTGACGTAATCTCGGTCTCGTTGAAAAGCTAAGAAAAAGATCTATAACTTCCATTAAGATATAAGGGTCCAAACCTATCATATAGGATATAAAAAATGGACAACAAGACATTATATCCTTATATTTACATTGATTCTCAGCCCCCAAAGGTTGTCTTTCACCTAATAGACATACAACCACTTCAATACATGATTCTTGCCATTTCAAGGCTCACATGATATCCAACTAGGCTTGAAAGCCCTTCTATCACATCTATGCACATTCAATTACATAATAATTAGGGTTTCAAGACTTAGACTTAACAAAACACATGATCAAAGCTATTTTGCTCCTTTCAACTATCAAGGATGCAAAATGACTAGGGTCATGGTCTAAGTCCCCAAAAATACATATTGTTAGTCCACTAAAATATTATGACTATGTGTGCATCCTATACATATCTTTCTCCCAAAATATAAGATGCAACCAAATATAAATACATATGAGGCACTTCAAAACAATCATATCACATGCTATCATATGGAAATTTACTCAAGCTAATTGCCTCGTTCCCGACCTGCATCATCCATGCTAGTACCTGAAATAGCAGTCCCCAAACGGAGTGAGATAAAACTCAATAAATCTAGGGTTCTTGGAGAATTCCTCCAACCCTAGAGTTCACCTCCTGCATGAAGGGTTAGTATACACATGGCATGAACTACATCATATATCCTGAGGCAATAACAGTAATGATTTAACTGCAATATGCTTATGTATTCCAATGGCCAAAGAATTAAACAATCACCATCACACAAGCTTCAATTGCATCTTAGTCCTTTCCACTAAGCATACAACCTTGCCCCTAGTGCTTGTCCATTAGCCCTTTCTCTAATGACACAACGATACTATATGAATGCAAACATACCATAATACTAATATTACCACTCAATCATCCAATCATTAACCATTACTTCCATAAAAGTAATGGTGGAACAACAAGAGGGATGAACCTCCAAGATCCAAAGGTTTACCTTTATTGTTTCCAATTCTACCTTTGTCCTGCACCAAGTTCCACAATCAAGCTTTCCTCTAGCTCGCTTATCCACACCAACCTTTCTTGATATGACACTTGGTAATTTCTTCCAATCATCAATGTTACCTAAACAAAATCCGAAATTCAATCAATAAAGAATTCATTTGGAATTGCTATTAAAACAAGCTTTCCTACTCAACACCTTCATTAAGATGCACATTCTATCAACTTTTCAATAGTCCTATGGTAACTAAAGGAATCCTTCCATTCACATTAGTCACACAAGCCATCACAATGCTTGACCCTAAGGTTAGGAAACTTACCAATCCTTGAAATAATTCATATACCCAAATTAAGTTCCATTGGCTCCTCCAAGGCTTGATCACTCACAATTGGTTCACTTGCCTCAATCCTAGTAATCATATGGACATAATCAATCAAGGCTCAACAATGTAAGAAAATCCATACTTTCAAGCATAATTTTCCAAGATTATTGAAACTAGCTGAAATCACAAACTAACTTCACTTCTACCATTTATTTACCATGCCGGACAACTTTTACAAAGGAATTTAGTCTCAATCTCTCTCCAACATACCCCACTATTCATGCATTTTCATAAACTAAACCCTAACTATGGCTTAAACTCAAAATAACCAAATGGGTTAGAGTTCTTACCACAAACACAACCACAATGGTCCAAGGAAGGAGTTCCAAGCCACAAGAATGGAAGACTTTACGTCTAGCTTCTCCAATGGCCAAATTTTGTCCCACTACAAAGGAAATATCTCCCTCCATAATAGTTCCCACTCAAAACTAAGTTAGGATTAAAAATGGGGGAAATTTCAAGTGATTTTGGCTTTAGAATGAGGTGATTTGGTTGAGAATCAAAGAAGTTAGGGTTTGGAGCTTTTTCAACAATGGTTTCCTTTCTCACTCTCTACCCATTGAAGAAGAAGAAGAAAATAAGGGAGTTGTGTGGTTTCTTGACTTAACTTAAGTTAAGTTTAATCGGGTAAAAACTCATCTATCTAGTTAACTCTGTTATATTTCAAACTTTACTTAAAGGTCTGGAATATTTTTCTAGGAATATTTTTACTTTTACTTTTATATTTTGGGTACTTTTGCCTACACACTTTTTTACCCTATAATTTTCATTGACTGCACTTTTTACCTCAAAAGTGACCCTAATTAATATAGATTAATTACTTAATTATATTTTGAGTATTTTTGCCTACACACATTTCAACCCACTGATACATGATAAATGACTTAAATACATATACTTTACTATTTAATTAGGTAAGGGATATTATAGATTCCGTTCAATATGAATGAATGCGTCGGTTCGAACCGAAAAGTAAGAACCGGTTCGGTTCAAAAAATTAATAAAAAATTGGTAGGAAGAAACGTTTGGGTTGAAGAATCTGGAGGGAAGCAACGGATAGGGACAGAGGTATTTTGGACAAAAAATTATTTAATAAATATTTTTATTTCACACACATGTACGAACCGAACTGAATCGATGGCAATGGCGACCCCCGCGCGTGGTGGACCAAAGGCAGCCTAACTCATCTCCCCTCCACAAAAGTGTAGTGCCCCAAGGGGCAATTTAGGAGTGTGAGATGAGAGCTTATAAACCCTCTCACTTCTTATTAGTTGTTCTATGTGGGACTTCTTAAAACTCACACATCCCTTCAACTTTCCTCTTTTCTTTTCTTTCTTAGCTCACTTCTTATTCATAACCCATAGAATTTGAATACAAATTCCAACAGTTGAGGATCTCACACTGGTTGCATAGGCAACGAGTGTCAGGTTTATAAAACCTTAGATACTCTCACCCTTTGAGCTAACTTTTGGGGTAGTGAACTTAAAGTCTGTAACAATTGTTTAGAGGTGAGGCTACAGAAAGCGTTACCTATAGGCCAGATCAAGGTGCCTTGGCACTTAATACTGATAGGTGAGTGAAGCCGACCAAAAAGGAGAAAGGGCTACTATCGGGTCAATATCGATAGAGTGAAAGTCGTCGTGGACATCAATTTTAAAGGGAGCGGCAATGTCGGGATCCCACATTGGTTGCATAAGCAACTAGTGTGAGATTTATAAAGCCATGAGCCCTCCCACCCTTTGAGCTAGCTTTTGAGGTGATGATCTCAAAGATTCCCCACAAATACAACTACATGTTTAAACATTAAATTGATCCTGACTGATCGAGTCATGCATGATCTGCAACGACAGGATAAGAAAGCTGAATAAAAATAGGATAAAGGATAATAAATTCATATTATATATATGTTTCGCGTTCACTGGAGTAGTTGTTTCTGGAGGAGTTGTTTTGCTTCGAAACATCTTTAACATTTTTTTATTTTATTTTTTTTCATGAAAACTCTTTAAGTATACTAGCATTTTTGTTTTTTTTGGTAAACGTAGTAGCATTTTTTTTCTCTCTAATACAGAGTAGAGTACTATTTATATATAAGATGATTTATAATTACATTATTTTTATGGAAATAAATAAAAATTCTAAACTTCAATTTAATATATTTCAACCAACAGTTCAAGTTAATTAGTGATAAGCTTTCAATAAATTTATATTATCTAAAAACTTAGGTTGATAAGCCATTATGTTTGGTTCAGTGGTGGTGAAAAGTTTGGGTAATTTATATTTAATGTAGGAGCTGTTGGGCTTCCTCCTTCAATGCTAAGCCCAAGCCCATTAAGGGGTTTCCCAAAAATCCTAAACCTTAAACCCTCAATTTCACCTCCTCTATATATTCATTAGGTGAGGGTGGAGGCTAGGTTAGATGAGAGAGATTTGATATTTGAGAGAAAATTTGTTTGAGATTTGAGAACAAAGCTTTATGCTTTGTATTTGAGAGATCTCTAGAGAGAGTTTGAGTGAAACATCTCTAGGGTAGTTTGATTATCACCATTGTTGGAGAGGTTTAGTTAACCACCACATTGGTGTATTCTGATTATTTGTAACCATTATTTTCATAGTGAATTTTTGACCTGGACTAGGTCCCGTGGGTTTTTTACTTCTTCATTGGAGAAGATTTTTCCACGTTAAAACCGTTTGTGTTCTCTATCTCTCTTTCTCTATCTCTCTATCTCTATCTCTCTCTCTCTCTCTCTCTCTCTCTCTCCTGTTTTGTGTTTTTGATTTTTCCACTGTACTGCCCGACCAGGCGAAATTCAGGCCGAAGTATTGTCGAGATCCGAGATCAGGATCTTGCTGACTGATTTCCGCAAAAGGCTGTAAAAGTCGAGTTTGAGGGAACCGAGTTCCCAACAGTGGTATCAGAGCCCGAGTTCAACGGGTTCTGAGGGAGACGAGATGGAGACCAGTGGCATAACCAATGATGGAGACATGTTCAAGCTGACCGCAGATAATTTCACCTCTTGGAGACCGATGATGGAAGATCATCTCTACTGCAAAGATTTACATGAGCCCATTACCCTTGATAAGAGACCGGAAGGTAAGACCGATAAAGAGTGGGAGATCCAGAGTCATAAGGCGGTAGCTACAATCAAAAAATTCATTGACAAAAGCCTCTTTGAGCACGTGTCCGAGTTCACGAACGCGTACGAGCTGTGGACGAAGTTGAAGTCCATGATTCAGAAGAAGACTCCCAGGAACAAAGCACACCTGGTTCGCCGACTTGTGAAGCTGGAATACAAGGATGACATGAGCATGATAGAACACCTCAACACCTACAAAGGTATTGTGAATCAGTTGTCAAAGGCTGAGATGAAAATTAATGACGAGATGCAAGCTTTGCTGCTGTTGAGCTCGCTGCCAGAAAGTTGGCATACTCTGGTGGTGACCTTGAAAAATTCAACCCCAGATGGAAAATTGAAGATGGATGTTGTGACAGACAGCCTCCTGGGCGAAGAAGCCAGGAGAAGAGAACGAGGTATTTCGAGCTCGTCTGAGGTCAACTTTGCTGAGAACAGAAGGAAATCTGACTCCCGAGGTAGAAGCAAAAGTCGGGGTCGAGATCGTGATAGAAAAAGTCCATAGGTCGGTCAAAGCCGAGATATGAGTTGAAGTTCTTTTACTGTGGAAAGACAGGTCATAAGAAGCCAGACTGCTGGACCCTGCAGAATGACGAGAAGAACGGCTCTGTGAAGCCGGATCAGATTATTCCCAAGTAGAGGGAAGACAAGAGCACCACTGCGGTGGCTGCCAACCCAGATGCCGAGATATTCCTCCTAGGTGAGGATAATTATTTGAATGTTGCCTATGATGATTGCACTTGGATTGTTAACTCTGGTGCCTCCTTCCACATTACTCCACATAAAGGTTTTTTCTCCTCTTACCGAGGTAGTGATTTTGGAGTCGTGAAGATGGGAAATCAAGTGACCAGTAAGATTGTTGGTATCGGTGATGTGACCCTGACCACAGATGTCGGATGCCGACTTGTGTTGAAAGATATAAGGCATGTCCCAGACATGCGATTGAACCTAATCTCGGTAGGCAAGCTTGATGATGCCGGGTTAGTGAACTACTTCGGTAGTGTGAGATGGAAGCTGGCCAAGGGAAACTTGGTCGTGGCTCGAGGTAAGAAGGAAGGCTCTTTGTATGTGATGCAAGGAAAGATTAATGGCGGAGAATCCAATTCTGTCCGAGATGAACCTATCTTGGAGCTATGGCACAAGCGCCTCGACCACATGAGCAAGAAAGGGCTCCAGATCCTGAACAAGAAAGGATTACTAACCGGGTTGAAGGGCCAAGCGTTGGAGAGTTGCACGCACTACCTAGCTGGAAAGCAGCACTGGGTTTCTTTCGTGAAACCGGATCAACCTAGACGACGCGGGTATATTCTTGACCTCGTCCATACTGATGTCTGCTCCATGTCGGAAAGATCCCTTGGAAGAGCTCAGTATTTTGTTTCATTTATTGATGACCATTCCTGCAAAGTGTGGGTATATTTGTTGAAGTCTAAAGATCAGGTACTCCAATCCTTTAAAGAATTCCATGCAATGGTTGAAAGAGAGACTGGCAAGAAATTGAAGGTGGTCAGATCTGAGAATGGTTGTGAGTATTGCGGCCTATTTGATGCATACTGCAGAGCGGCCGGGATCTGACTTGAGAAGACGCCCCCCAAGACTCCACAGTTGAATGGACATGCTGAGAGGATGAACCGAACTATTGAAGAGAAGGTACGAAGCATGTTATCTAATGTCGGGTTACCAAAATCATTCTGGGGAGAAGCCATCAGAACTGCTGTTGACTTGATCAACCTCTCACCATCACGGCCACTTGAAGGAGAAATTCCATAAGAAGTCTGGACAGGTCGAAAAGTGGCCTATAATCAATTAAAGGTGTTTGGATGTCGAGCTTTTGTGCATATCCCTAAAGATGAAAGAGCTAAACTTGATGCGAAGACAAAAGAATGCATCTATCTTGGTTCGCCGAGATGTGAGTTCGGGTTCCGACTTTGGGATCCAATCAATAAGAAGATAGTGAGAAGCCGAGATGTGATCTTTCATGAAGATGAGACCATTCATGACATCTCGAAGCCCAAAGTCTG